GTCGATCCCACCGTGATCGAGGAAATTCACTTCGGCGGCAATACAATTGGTGTAGAGGCGTCTCAAGCTTTGGGAGAATTCCTCGAGAAGGCCACAGTTCTCAAGGCACGCGTAGAATTTTCCTTTCTAAAACTGTGTCTTATCAAAGTCTCCTCAGATCGCTGATTTCGCTGACATCTTCACGGGACGCCTCATCACTGAGATCCCCCAAGCCCTCTCAGCGATCTGTGATGCCCTGAAGGACAAGACCTCTCTTGTAGAGCTCAATCTCAGCGATAACGCGTTCGGCGGCCGATCTGTCGACCCTATCGTCCCCTTCCTCATCGAGAACAGGAACTTCCAGGTCCTCAAGCTCAACAACAACGGCCTCGGTCCCGCCGGTGGTGTTGTTCTCGCGAATGCGCTGCTCGAATCCGCTAAGCGCAGCAAAGCAGAGGGCAAGAAATCGAGTCTGCGCACCGTCATCTGCGGACGCAATCGCCTCGAGGATGGCTCGGCGCCCGCGTGGGCAGATGCGTTTGCGGCCCACGGCACGCTCGTCGAAGTGCGGATGCCGCAGAATGGGATCAGGATGAAGGGCATCACAGCCCTTGCGCGCGGATTGGCCCAGTGCCCGAATTTAGGGCACGTCGATCTCCAAGATAACACGTTCACTGAGGATGGCGCGATCGATGGGTTGGAAGCGTGGACAGACGCGGTGCGCTCATGGCCCGAATTGCGGGCGCTCAATCTCTCCGATTGCTTCCTCTCCAGTGACGGAGAGATCCCTGTCCTTCTCTCCGCCTTGGCCCTCGGCACAAACCCTAAACTGCACACGCTGCAGCTCCAGAATAACAACCTCGAATCGCAGACGTTTGAGCTCTTCGCAGAGAACATTTCCAAAACACTGCTGAGCTTGATGAGCTTAGACCTCACGGACAACGATCAGGAGGAAGATGATGAATATTTGGAGACGATTGCTCTAAGCATGAAGCAGAGGGGCGGCAAGCTGCTCGCATTCGAAGACGATGATGAGGATGAGGTCGAGGAGGAAGACGAGGAGGCAGTAGAGAAAGAAGCTCCGGTTGCGAGCAAAGAACCCGAAGTTAAAGCATCCGCAGAAGCCGACAAAGCTGCAGATGACCTCGCCGATTTGCTCAGCAAGGTCGAAATCAAGTCGTAATCAATATACCACCCATCTTTTATGACTTTTTCATTATATCTACACACGGGAGATCATCATACATTTTGGAAAGACCGTCGCATTGCATATCGTTGAATAGATGCCGTGTAGATAGGTATTACGTTACGATTACACTGAATCATTGTCGAACTTTGTAGATTAACCATTTGCCTTGGACTCCCTCCTTCAGTCGCGTATGCCCCGATGTGCTGTGCTGCTCCAGCCATTGCTCAGGTGTGATGTCGCGGCCATACGGAACCGCAGACTGCAAGCATAACGAGCGTTCGAGCCAGATCTGGGTTTCTTCGCTATTGCATAATAGCTCTCGATAGGCCGAACGGATAATACCCCAAGTAGTCAATTGGGCCTTGTTCCGCAAAGAATGTGTGAGTGCGAGAAGGGCCTGACGTGACAGCTTTTCGCTGTCACCACCAGACAAAGACAGCGAGTTCATGGATCCCGAAAGATCCTCTGGCCTCTCGAACAGCTTCAAACTATTCGACGAGTTGCTTAGTACATCAAAGGTCGCGTAGTTTTGTGTTCGGAGGCTCTTGGCGATGCCTGTAATCCATTTAAAAGCGGCGGAGGTCCTTGGGAGAAATCCAGCAGGTATCGTATCAAAGAATTGCCTGAACGTTCCTTGTGAAGGGTACGCAGCGGATAGATGGTGCAGCAATGATATCAGCGCAACGACTAGGCTATTTTTGTGGGGCCCGAGCGATACGAGATACAGGGAGGGCATAAGATGCGGAATCACTGCCGTAGTATGTTTCGGCGATTCGAAGATGACGGCGAGATAGAGAGAGGTCTCGTACACTGCGAGAACATTGGGATAACGTTCCACCTTTTGGAAATGGGAATTGCACACCTTCTAAAGCAAACGCATCATTACGCCGTGCTGAAGAAATACCTTCCCGCAGCTTTCCTGGCAATACAATCAGGTATGAGTGTCTTTGTCGCGTGGTGAGAACTCACTAAACAGTATAAGCACATTCTCTTGCGCGTTTATTCGCGCAGCTGTCTCTGGCTCTGTCTCTGTGTGGCGCCGGGGATATTTTCTGAAAACATCGTCGACCTAAAAGGCGGAAACCCATGAATCAGCGCGAACTTGAATCGATTGGCCACACCCCAAAACTCTAACCTTGCCCTGTAATAAAGTTCTATATTCCTCTTGTACCTTGAAGTCCTTCAGTCTAAGCATCTGAAGTCTATCACGACGGAGGGGCTGTCTCGATTCAAACAAAACTCACGTATCTCCATCTTTTTCCAATCCACTGCTTCGACTGACAGACGCGATGTGCGACATCTGCCGGCTTGCTGGGAACGATGAGGCTCCCCACGAGACTCCCCTACCTCGTCCCCTATTTACAGGCCTGGGTGGCTGATTTCGCCAGCTTGACATAGTAGTCACTGGAGGAAATATGACGGTGGAAACTGGCGATTGGTTGCCGAAGGCCGGGCCGAACAAATTATCCCCTCATTCACAGGTATCGACGTACCGAACCACCATCTACGTGTAACACCAGTGGCCACGATGACTATCTCCTTGCTGCCCACTACAGTGCTATCACCAAAGGACATTCCACTACGAACAGGACCACCGACCAAGGAGGAACTCGTGGTCTACTATCCCGCAAAGTTCACTTGGGCCCAGCTCAAGACCTTTGTGAACTCTGGGTGAATATTATACGTGTTTAAGCGGTCCCCAGAGCGTTGACGCTGATTTTCAGTGATCTTGGCCTCCTGAAGCGCGATCGGAAGCTTCAGGAGAGGTATAACAAGTGGGCAGTAGGGATAAAGGCCGAGTACGGGTCCATCGGTACGCTGGTACTAATATATGGACCCGATGTACTGTGCTCATTGCATGGCATGTAGTCAACTACCTCACAGACTATAGACTACAGTGGGGCAAACGGGACACCTTGTCACTCTTGACGTCAGCCCTAGATGCTGATGAGGTTCAGAACGAAGTACAGCAGCCTTCTCAGTCACAGACGAATGGCAACGTTAAGAAAGTATTCCCAGCGTTACCCGAGGACGCTCCAAAATATTTCACGCGCGACACGCCTCCGGAATACTTGAGCATTATCCAAAATGACTGGCCGTACTCTGGTGCGCTCCCCCCTCACCCGGAACTGCTGTATGAATAACACCCGACACCCAGTTCCGTCTGAGGTTGAACATACTCTTATCTGGACCCGTGTGCCGATATACCACGAGGACATCGTGGCGAAATCCATAACAGCGCGTGTGGAGCAGGACGGACTCTGTGGGTTTACTGGAACTTCCTCTCCACCGCCGTCCCCATCAGCCCTCCCCTCGTGTTTGCCGGCGCTTTCGGAGTGGGGCATCACAATGGACAGGCTCGTCAGATCGGAGCCGCCAACTGAGGAGGAAGTTACGTTGATTCGTCACGCAGGGGAGGAGATCCACGAATTTGTTAGAAATCGCTGGGACGAGTCAAGATGGGAAACTGCATGGTTTGTCAACCCACCAGTGAGATTGCTTGCCTTCTCCATTTTTGCCTGAGCTGACATTGTGTATCATGCAGAGGCTCCAGAGCGTCCCAGGGCTCGCTCATATTCATGTCTTTGCGCGTCAAAAACTCTGAACAAGGCTGCCGATATGCGCTAGAACTCTTTTTTAGGACAATTATTACGGACACTAGAATTTTAGATATGATACCCGGTCTGCACATGCTCTGAATGTAATTAGATCAGAATGCGAAAAATGATCTATCTCGATCTTCGTGTTAACTACTCGCCTGAGTTCCGTTCCGTGCTTAGGACTAAATTGGAGTAGTCCAATCCATGTCTATAGCACATCTTTTCTTGTCAACAGGGCGTACATCACGAAGCATACGCCATCCTCTTACTCTACTGTTCAATCTTGGTGTACAGAAGATCCACACTGATCCACATAGTACTGCCCACATACGCTCTCCGTCAGGCTTGGATATGAAAAAGTACTTCTCTGATGATGCTTCTGACGCATCGTAAGCCTTGGGTGCCCTTGCATGAAGAAGATTGATGTACTCTTGCGAAACAATCTTGAGAAGAGGTGTTCTTATGAGTCGAAACGAAAGCATGGTATCAATGATTCGTTTGAATGTCTCTATTGCATCATCGGGCATCAATGCAGCACGTACAGTATCTCTATGACCAGCTATTCTCAGTTCTGACCAAGATACAGACGGTATGTTACCATGAACATTCACACTCTTATTGAAGTCACGTACGATTCCAGTGTATCTTCTACGCATGCTTTCCATCTGTCCCGTTGCGGCTGCGCTGCAGGTTAGCACCATATACTACGAAAGAGTGAGGACGTAAACTCGCAGTTCCGGTTCCAAGCCCGGAGGTCGTGTATATATTGCTATCGCATGCTTCGTGTCGCTGAGTGTGGTCGCGGATACGTACCGCGCCTTTGCAGCCGAGACCTACACAAGATTCGAACGCTGATCGGTTGCTCTGTCACCTGTAAAGGCAGGATCATAGTGCTACGGCACACGCAGAAGTCCCCATGGGAGGGCTCAGGTTAGACAGAGACTAGGGGGGGAGTGCTCTCACCTGTCAGGAGCAAGTAAAGAGGCAGATGCTGGTTACCACTGGCCCTAAATTAGGTTACCAAGGATGGTCCTGCTTTCCATCTGTCCCGTTGCGGCTGCGCTGCAGGTTAGCACCAGATACTACGAAAGAGTGAGGACGTAATCGAATCACCTTTGCTTGTACCACGGTCCAGGGATACCAGTAGGCGGAGGAAGCAGGCGACCAACTTCGAGCATATCGGATAGTGGCTGTGCACATAATGTGTTGTGGCGCAGAAATAAGTAGCCGTCGGCCGACTAGCTCAGCTGGTTAGAGCGTCGTGCTAATATTCTTCATGAATAAATACGCGAAGGTCTTGGGTTCGATCCCCACGTTGGCCAATCTTAACTCGTCCTGTGCTTTTCTCATATTTTTCTCAAAAGTCGCTCTGACGCAGAACTGTTGTTAAGATCTCCTTACACATCGGACTTTGCCTGATAGATTACGAGGTCTAGTAAATCCTGTAGCTTTTATGGCCAGAAACCATGCCCTGCTCAGGGTGCGGTGCGATATATCTGCGTGGCCATTTGAAGGCGCGTTATTTGCCCTTGCGTAAAACCTGACTTGCAATTGTCGTCTGTGTAGTCCATAAAGTTACCTGGACATGATGCTCAACACTGGTCATAGAGGCAAGATTCTGGAAGTCCTTACTGATCAAATCCAAGCCGCCTCCGGCGCAGGAATCTCGCATCGTGGGGCAACCAAAGTTCGCCACGCGCACAGCAGGTGTATCGTCAACCAAGTCACCCACCCCAGTGCATCCGCCCTGTTGTCTAGCGTTAGATTGGTGTGCTATAACCACTAGGAGGACTGCACACCTGAAAGGTATGAAACAGCCCAAGCCAATGGCCAGCCTCGTGAGTAAGTGTTCGCCCGAGGTTGTGATTTACTGCAGATCCACCAGGGAGTGACGAATGGCGTATGATAATCCCATCTAGAGTTGGCTGGGAGTGGTAGTCCCACGGAAATGTAGAATACCCAAGTAAGGTTGAATTAGGAAACCTGCAGAGTCTTCAGATGAGTCTGTTCTCATATCACACAATTGACAGCTAGCTACCCCACGGTGAACACGTTGAGGGTGTTTTGCCCTCCCCTGCGGAAGATCGTCTTGAGAATGTTGGCATTGACGCTGCGCAGTGCGTAAGACTTTAGTCCGGTGCACATCTCACAGGAGTTCGGAAGTAACCTTTCTTGTGTTATGCCCTCAAACCACTCTGTGCTGATGATCCTTGTCGTATCCGCGTGCCGCCAAGAAACGCCTGCCTCTGCATAATCTCCGTTGAGGACATCGATCTGGGCAGCTATTTGGGCATCTCTGTACATACGTCATTTCTCCGTCGAACAAAAATAAACCCTCTGAGCGACTTACGGAATCCAACCACCTTGTATCGTAGCGTTGGCTGCAACAACGTGAAAATACACGTCAATTTCAAGAGATCCTAATGCAGATTCTGCCTGGCTTGAGAGTGCGATAGCTTTTTGGAAGTTCCTCTCGGCAGCGAGTACATCCTCGTCGGTGAGCTCACTTCCACAACCTCTGTATGAAATGCCGTAAATACGCCAGATCCGGTCACTAGTTATCCCAAATTATATTACATACACGCTGGTAGAACGATCTTCGGAATCGCCAGATGATAAAGGCCCCCCAGACACAAATAAAGAAAGGCAAGAGAGAACAAGCGCGATCCAGATCGAGCAGCCGAACATGGGTAGCCTTGGAACGAGAACGATAGTCTGAGATCCGTGGCCCTCACCGTGTACGAGGAAAGAGAGGCACCAGGCCTGTTGTCGTCGTCAGAGGTCAATACCTACTAGGCTTGGCATAAAAAGACTCCTGAATCCCTAGGCTCGCGGAATCACACGAAGTTACAAGCATGATTTCGGAAGTTGCGAAAGCGACCGGCACAAGTTTCCATCGTAAACAATCACCGGAATTCGATACCAATGGGCTGATGCGACAAAAGATACAGAGGAAGAAAGGAGGGGCTGGCGCAGCAACAGAACTGATGTCGGATCGGAGACGAAATTGGTCCCGGATACCGACGTCAGCCTGCGAACAACTTGTTGACAGCATCCCCACCTCTCGACACTCAAACAGCATCTACAGACCATCTCCAACCATCCCGGGCCCGCTATGCAGAGACGGATACTCGCCGAGAGTGAGTGCCGTAGATCTCGAGCGACCGAGGAGGTGTAGCTTGGAGAATTGGTGCAGTTGGAAGATCTGGAAGACTGGGACTACAAATACGTATGTCGAGTAACACTACAGGCGCTTGCACACTGTCCGCACCCGACGGCGCCCCAGCAGTGCATAAGTCCGAACCCACCCGCTCACGCCGACCTCTTCCTGGTAAACACGCCTTGCGCATGCGGATCCTAGGTGCCGGACGTCAAACGTGACGCGGCCTGATATGCTCAATGACTGGGGCATGGACGTGGAATCAAGAGGTGTTGGGACTCCTCCTTGGCCAGGGCGGACCACCTAACCTTGCGTTATGACGTGGTACTAGATGTCTCGCGCCCGTTGCTCGGGGCCCTCGAGCGTGTCCAGGTCCCGTGCTGTAGACGCGTCTTGGGTCTGGGGTCACGGAGCGTCCTTGCGCCTCTCTTCACGGAAAGAATTCTGGCGCTAAACTACATACCTCCTCTACGTGACCTGCCTACCCAGCAACCAATATGCACAACCAGCACTACGAGATTCTGTGGAACTGGCCAGCACCAGGCGCGCGTCTGGGGAAGATCTGGATAGAATGGGATTGGCCGTTTCAGGGGCGTGATGCCAGTGACCGTTGTTATGGGATCCTGAGCGCGTCCGAAACCTGATGGACGGAGGGCCTGCAGAAGGCCATTGATACGCGAAAAACAACATCTTCGTTGCCGGCCACCCTCATCTCAGTCTTGGCACTCTACCTCTACCTGTCGGTCTTAACGTCAGCCCACCGCAAGGCCCTCACGAGGGTCATTCTCCAATCGCGGCCTGGCAGTGGAGAAGCTACGACACGGGGAGTGATACCGCCTCGAGATATCACGCCATCTGAGGTTATGGCGGTTCTGTGAGGCGAGGACGAAGTGCATGCGTTACTGGTGTGTAGAGCATCGGATGGGCTGGTTGCGTGCTGGGGGGCCTTCTATGAAATGCTACGCGAGGTAGATCCCGACGCGTCAGTGTTATGGGGACAGATAGCTGCTTACGAAGTACTACAGGAGCTAGTGGCCTCGAAGAAAGGAGTGTGAGCCCTAGCACGTTTGTATATGACGTCCTTTGGGTCTTCGACGCGGAGCCGACAGAGGGAGGGGGTGGAGACATCACGACATCTCTCGAACTGACGGCACTGCGGGGGGTATTGCTCAGGGTGAAACAGCTGCCACTGGGCTTAGGATATAATGACGTACGCGGCACTCACAGCACACAAGGGACTAGGCGTCCGTAGCATAGAAGTACGCGACTTAGTATGTAGTATGAACCCTGGCTGTTCGTGCGCGGACCGTGCCGGTTTAGTAACTTCCTTCCTTCCATTAGATCATCGAGAATGAACATATTATCACCATGTCAATACTAAACTTACTGTGTTTCGGCCAAACTAATCGTCATGGAGATGGAGTTCCACTCCATTCACTGCATCTTTCATGGGCAAGTAATGGACAAAATGTTCACCGTCAAACTCACGGGCGACCCGACGAGTACATAAGATGTTAGTATCGTCGACGACGTGATTTATTGATGGCGTCGGATCCTTGTAAGCATCGCCGACCTTGTAGCGTCCTGCAGAGAGACCAGGCATGCCGTATGTTGAATCGATTATATCTGTGCACAGAATGCACAAGTAGTCACTCGTCAGGCACTAGGTCTGGAGCGTTTTCAAGCTTCAAGAGGTTAGGTTGTCTGAAGAGTTATCTGAAGGCTTCAAGTTGGGCACGAACGCGCGTCAGTTGCACCATCGGTTCACGACTTTACACGACATTTGAATAGAAATTAAAAGGGACCGCTGTTAGGATTCTGCAAGATACTCCGAGTGCAGTAGAGGGTACAAGAAATTATGGAGGAGGGATTAGATCAGAATCCGCGATTCGCCTTGTCGAGCACTGTGTTCACATAAGAACGTGAGTTTGCCAGAAATGCACGAGCATAAGGGGAACACACCACTCTCATACGCAACCTCACTGAAATCGGTACCCTGGATCTCTACGGCGATACCAACGAGAGAGCGTCGCAGGGCTTCCTTAGAAGAGGCGAACAACATCTTTTGCTTGATCTTGGCATCATCAGGAGACCTGGGTGCCCAGTTAGCAAACAGGAATTGAATAGTTGTCTGTGGTGCACTCGAGGTGCAATATACAGACGATGTGGAGAGATCGCGACATACCATGAGACAAAGGTGAGCTTGTTCCTCTTGCCACTACCCTCCTTCTCAAACTCGAAGTCATAGACTGCCCATCGGCATTCTGTTTCGGGCAGGTCGGCAATGAAATCATCGTATTCCTGCGAAACAGAGGTCTTCTCTATGACGATCTCCGTGTTGTCTTTGGACAATGTAAAGATGATATATTTGAACGTCTTCTTGAGCTTGAGGGCTTGGTATTGCTCGAGACACAGTGAGTTGACACCGACGCCGGAAGCCTGAAGTGGTGTTAGACTCGTCCGCACATGCGATCTCTTGGTACACTCGCCATTTCAAATAAAAAGACGGTAGATGGTAGATGTACGGAAGAAAGAAAGAGCTTTATGTAGTATTTGGCTGTGGTTGCGACAACTGCGATCACGCGCCTGATCCTCTTATCGTTGATTGAACGTCTGGCTGGCGTCTAAAATAAATCCAAAATACGTTTCTTCTCGTAAATGTCTCGAGAGTTGTACAAGTTGTCATAATATAGGCGTCCACTATCCAGCATCTAGTACTGTGCGAACTACGCAAACACGTCGTCCAACCACCGTTCATAATCATACTCTGGCTCCCCAGCGTCGTTGGAATTGAGCGGCATCGCCTCACGTAGGTAATCAATCGCCGGCGGTGGAAGGTGCGCAATGCGAAGATCGAGCTCGGTCACGAACGGCTATTGTATATGTGAGTCACCATCAAGCTCAAGCGTTTGCGGACTACGCACTTTGTCAGTCGCGATACCGCGGAAAGCCTCCCGCAGCTGCTCCGGTGACGTCTGATCCTCCGTTATGTCAACCTAGGGAGAAACGCGGAAGAAAGTCAGCGGCGGTGGACCATGCATGGCAATGCCACCCACGAGAAGATTGATGAAAGCCTCAAAGGTTACTGCGCCGTATTCCTGTGTCAGGTCGTCGAAAATGAAGATCATGTCCTCGTCCGTGTACACAATACCCAAGCTGGCG